TTACATAGTAATTTATTAAAGATTTTCAACAATACATTCTGATTTTAATGAGTCTTCAGTTATACTGGATTAAAACTAGAAGATTTCCAAAGTTTTAATAATAATAATAATAATACTCTTTTTTTTTAAAAGACACCTTTCTGGACACTCAAGGTCAATGTACATAAAATAAAAAATCAATGGCAGAAACAAAGTCGAAACACAGAATAAAAACCATTTAAAAGGCTGGGACAGGGAAATTGATATTAAAGAGAAAAGGCAATCTTAAACAGATTTGTCTGGTCAGATTTAGGAAAATAAGCTAGCACTACTTTACTTTTATCTTTGTTTGAGTTTTTCAGTCCAGGTGAGGTGACTTTGTGCACGATTCCAACTTGTAGGTTTATTGCAGTTTAAAGTTGCAGCTCTGAGGAAAAATCCAGTGTAACATGTGCAAAGTAATAAGCAATAGTGTTCAATGTCACCACAATTCTGATTGCAGATGCTTCAATTTAATACTTGTTAAATATTTTAATACTTGGCCAGATTTTTTTGCCCTATATTTCAACATTAACTGATTCCACAGAGTCCTGCTTTGTTAAATCTTTGCCACACAAGCTGCAGGTTGATGAAGACATTGTTTTTTCTTTTTTTCCCCTTAAAATCTGAACATTATCACATCACACAGTCCTCTGAACTGATAAAAAAAAAATCTTCAGATATCATAATTCTGATTTAACAGTTCCAAAGTATGTCAGTTAATTATAGATGAGTGCAAATCAAATGTAGGAAGCCAGATATTTTTTTGCGCTTTTCCACAAATTCTTTAGCATTCTGGTCTAGCTGAGGGGGAAAAAAAATACTTTGATATTTCTTTTTAAGATTATTTATTTATTTGCTTAGTGTCAGTTTTCATACCTCAAATTGTATCCGCTGCAAAACCTCTGGACCCCCTTCTGTCATTCGAATGACAGAATTCCACCTTAAAGGTTTGTGAAGTAAGCCTGACAGAAAGCACTCAGCTTTACACTCCCTCAGGTGGAGTCGGCTGTTTCTCAGACACAAAGAAGGAAAGAAGCTGCTCTTTGAAAGATTGTGTTTGATTACTTCTGTCCGTATGTGTGAGAGGATATATTTCTCCCAAAAGAACACAGCAGAGGCGAATAATAAACTGATCTCCGTACTCTACAGGGAGCTGCAAGGACCACAAAGAATAAATCAGAGTTGTTCCTGAACTTTTTTTGGGTCCTGACTGTAAATAGTGAACTTTTCCTTATGTTCACTTCAATATTTATTCAAGTAACCTTTTTCTGATATCCCTAAATAAAAATATGTAAAACCAGCTGCATTTTGGAGGTGATCATATCAATAAACCATGTCCGCCTTGAATTTATCATCAGCATAATCCAGCTGTTCAGCAAAGCCTCTGAGGTTTGTAGAAACAGTTGATTAAAATGGAAAAGAAAAAAAGATAAAAAAGAAAATTGTAAATTTTAGGATTAATAAATCACTTTCACTATTTGGAAACTTCTCACAGAATAGTTTTTCCCATCGCTTTAAAATAAAAGGGGATGGCACAACCTCTAACCTACCATCACACTGCAGTTCATGATGAGCCTGGCAAAGACAGCATTCATCAGAAAAGCGGGCAAAGGTGCTGTTGGTAGCTGTGGAGGAGCTACAGAATAAAGACTCCAGCAACACTTCATTAAACATCCACAGCTCAGGTAGAAGAAGTTTAAATCCTGGATTCCCAATGCACGGAGGAGTGGTAACAGTAGGACAATTTAACAGGCACTATAAGCCAAGATATAGAGATACATCAAAGATGGAAGGAAGTTTTCTGGTCAGATGAAGCGAAAGTAGAACTTTTAGTCCTTACTTAAAAAAGAAATATGATCTGAAGTGGAATAAAACCACATGGAACATCACCCTAGACATGATCACTTTTACTATGAAACACGGTGGTGGATGTAGCATGCTGTGGAGATACATTCTATCAGCAGAGGCTGATTTTGAATATCAGCCTCTGCAAATAAGTAAGGACACTTAAGCCAAAGTGGAATTGCTCCAGTGGTCGCCATGATAAATGCTGTCAGAATAGAAGGAAGGAGCTGGAAACAGGAAGCAGGATGTTTCCCGCTCAGAATTAATTTAGCAGAGGGACCTCCCTACGTTCCTTTTCACTGCATAGGAGGTTTACGGTTACTCATAATGTTTTGCATGACAGGTTCTATGCGCACAGCCCACCTAACGAAGTTTAGCAAGAATACAAAATTTATTCAGTTTACTTTGCATGACACATGCTAATGTACGCACATTCATATATGTTTTAGGTTTAATAATGGAGAGCT